CGGACGAGGGCGCGGGGAACGGGGAGTACGTGAGCAGCGTGGCGTGGGCCGCGGACGGGAAGCACCTGGCGGTGGGGCTGAGCTCCGCGGAGGTGCAGGTGTGGGACAGCGCGCGCCTCAAGCAGGTGCGCGCGCTCAAGGGCCACGCGGGGCGCGTCGGCGCCTTGGACTGGAACGGCGCGACGCTGTCGACGGGCGGGCGCGACGGCGCGATTCTCAACCACGACGTGCGCATGCGGCAGCACGTGACGTCGCGCCTGGCGGGGCACGAGCTGGAGGTGTGCGGGCTCAAGTGGTCGCCGTCCGGGCGGCAGCTGGCGAGCGGTGGAAACGACAACCTGCTGCACATCTGGGACGCCTCCGCCATGGCCTCCGCCTCCGCCGCCTCCGCCTTCTCCGCGTCGTCCGCGCGCGTGGCGAACGGCAACGCGCCGTGGCTGCACCGGCTGGACCTCCACCAGGCCGCCGTGAAGGCGCTCGCGTGGTGCCCCTTCCAAGCCAACCTCCTCGCCTCGGGCGGAGGCTCGGCGGACCGAACCATCAAGTTCTGGAACACCCAAACGGGCGCGTGCGTGCGCAGCGTGGACACAGAATCCCAAGTGTGCGCGCTGCAGTGGTCGCAGCACGACAAGGAGCTGCTGTCATCGCACGGGTACAGCCGCAACCAGCTGTGCCTGTGGCACTACCCCACCATGAGCAAGCTCGCAGAGCTGTCGGGCCACTCGGCGCGTGTGCTGCACCTGGCGCAGAGCCCTGACGGCGCCACCGTGGCGTCGGCTGCGGCGGACGAGACGCTGCGGTTCTGGAAGGCGTTCGGTGGACCCAAGGGCGAGCAGAGCGGCAATGCGGGCAGCAGGGCCGGCAGTGGCAGTGGGAGCCTTGAGCGCGGGTTCAGCAGCCGCAGCATGAGCCTCAGGTGAATGCGGTTGGGCTCGGTGGCTGCATCATTCAGATTCAGCGGTAATATCAGTGGTTGCAGCATCAGTTTCAGTGGCAGCATCTGTGGCAGCATCAGCAGCACTTAGTTACTAGGAGGTCCACATGCAAGGCTCTCTCTGTGCCGTGGCATGGTTGCCCACACTCACATAAGACATTGACGTTCCATCGCCAGTGCACACCAGTCTGCTTGGCATGCATTGCTGCAGATCCTAGTTTTGGGGGTAGGACGCCTCTCGCTGATCCTCCCCTCGCCTTAATTGTAACATAACATGTACATACCTGACTTGAATGACAGCAGCACATTGCATGAGGCGTCTGTGTACCCGGGCGGAAACTGCCACCCTGAAAGACAGGAGGAGTGTGAACAAAAGTGGATGGGGCGAGCAGAGCTCGTGCAGCAATGAGTACCGTATTACCACATCAATGCAGCTTGTTGCGGTACTGAACTCCCACTAGCAGCACTGCTTTTCATTTCAAGGCCTGGTCAAAAGGTTGTTCTTCAACTGTGTTCAGCATCCTTAGCAGTAAGTGCCCTAAAGCTGTTAGGAACAGCGAGTTTAGGAGCCCCCCCGCTGATCCTCCCCTTGCCTTGATTGTAACATAACACAACACGTGTACCTGTGCACCCTTGTCGGAAACTGACTCTCGGACAAGCCTGGAAAAGGATTCTTTCTCTGAAAGTGCCTTGTGTCAGCAGAGCTCCGTGCAGCAATATATGGTACTTTCCTCGGCTATGCAGCACTCCCTGCGGCACTGTTCATAGCCTGAACTGGTATTTCAACCATGTTCCGTAGGAGCATGTGCCTCTTCTTGAGGCTGCTAGGAGCAGTGTGACAAGACAAGCTTGGCTTAAAAACAACTGCATTTAACCCATTCAATTGCATAAGGCATGTGTACAATCGTATATCATAATGGCTTTTACAAGTGGTTGTATTTGGAGGTGTAGTCGAGCACCCAGACGGGCACGCAGTAGACGAGCATGCCGATGAGGAAGGAGGGCAGGATGGTGATGCCGTAGAGGTACATGTAGGGGCGCCAGCAGCGGCCCGTCTTGGCCTTGTGCAGCGCCAGCACCTCCACCATGAGCGTTGACACCGTGCTCAGTGACCCCAGGAACCCCAGCTGTAGCGCTCCTATCGCCAGCACACTCACCTCGCTGTTGTACTGTGGGAGGGGGAGCGGGGGGAGCGGAGGGGAAACAGGTGGGCATGGAGAGAGGAAGTGAGGATGCAAGTGGGAGGACAGGAGGTGCAGTGAGGCAGAATGAGAATGCTGAATTGGGTGGAGTGGAGTGGGTGTACGAACGTGCAAGGCAGTGCGTGCACTGCTGCACGTGTGTGCAAGCGTGAGGGAGGGACTCACAGCGAGCACGATTGTAGAGAGAACAGCCTCGAGCGCGGACGCGCTCACGTTGGCGGCCACGGTCCCCACAGGCACCCACTGCCACCACTGCCCCTTGCCCACCGCGCCCCCGTTCAACCACGACAGGTACCAGCGAATCCAAGCGCCCGGCGCCGCCACCACGCACGCAAACCACAGCCGGCGTGTTTTGCTCGACCAGTCGTCGAGTGCGGTGCCGATGGCGGCAGCGGTGACGAGGAAGACGGAGAGGCAGAAGAAGAGCAGCAGCGACGCCCACCGCCGGTCAAAGTGGTCCCCGCGCGGCGCGCACAGGGGCGGCTTGCCGCGCGCGGTGCGGCGGTCGTTGGCGCGCTTGATCTGCCACTTGATGCCGTCGGCAAAGTCAATCCCCGCCATGAGCGAGACGAAGGGCAGCGCGGCCCCGACGATGTAGCCGGCGAGCGCGCGCACCCACAGGCCCGACGCCAGGATGGCGAGCATGCGCTGGTTCCAGGAGGCGAACGTCGTGATGCACCCGCACAGCCCCGTCGATAGCCCGATGGCCAGGTGCTCTGAGTACGCCGCTATGTGCCGCTTCGCCGCCACGCCCACCACCCCCATTATGAAACTGCCCGCCTGCCGTGGGGGAGGGGGGTGGGGAGGGGGACGGGAGGGGGGAGGAAACGAGGGCTCGGTGAGGGAGGGGAGAGCGCGGAAAGGAGGGAAGACGGGAGGGTGGATGCGGGGAGGTGGGTGCGAGAGTGGGAGTGAAGGGAGGAGGAGAAGTGGGTGTTAAGGGGCGCGACTGACGATGTTAGCGGGCAGGTCGATGAAGACTCACGATGTTAGCGGGCAGGTCGATGAAGACGGTCTGCTCGTCGTCCGTCACGTGCGCCACCTCCGGCCCGAACAGCACCTCCAGCCCGTACCGTATCAGCACCTGCGCTCGCCGCCGCGCGCCGCCGTTCGCATGCGCAAGCGCAGCGGCAACACGGGAGGGAGCCGCGCGGAAGCAGGGAGGGGGGATTCAGGCAAGGGGGGAAGGGGAGAGAGAATCCTGCACTGAGGTGAATGCGCGGGGAGCAGCGTGGGGATGATGCGGCAAGAATGCGGCCGAGTCGGGGGCGGGCCGGTGTGGATGGGATTACAAAAGCGAGCGCGGCGCGGCGGACGTACCCCGATGATGGCGAAGGTGGCGAGATGCACGAGCACGGACACGTGCGTTAGCCACGGCTCGAGCCGCTCGTCTTCCTCCGGTAACTGCTCGCACGCGCGCCCAGGGGGACGTTACAGGGGGTGAGAAAGGGGGGACGGGGAGTGAATGGGGGGAAGCGGAGAAAGGTGATGGCACACGGGCAGGACAAGGCGGAGAGACGAGATATCACACGCTCGAAGCAAGCGCGCCGAGTTGCCATGCACCCTTGGACACGGCTAGGACTAAACCCGCGTCGCTGCGAATAGCAGCGCTAACCGATAAAAAGGGACTCGCCTGTATTTCCGGTAATGGCGGTTGAGCGGCAGCTGGCGTCGCGACGACAATGGCGGTGGGAGGTGACGCGGCAAGCCCGGAGGTGGGAGGCACAATGTCCACTGCGGCGCCTTCCGCGGGCGCGGAAACCACGGCGAGCTCCTGCGAGCGTCTGGCGGCACTGTCGGACGCCATCGCGCTTAAGAGTATAATAAGGCTAACTCTATCGAACTAATAAACCAGACGCCTTTCTTAGGGTATAATTCTGTCACCTTATATCTATACTAGAGCGGATCACTCGACCTAACCGATCGATATGTGCGTTAGGAGCAAGAGCAGGTTTCATGACATGCGTTCGCCAGAGCTCACGGGTAAGCAAGCGTAGTTCAGCGACGCTCGCGTCATGCGTACACGATAGAAGCAAGCAGTACGAGCGGACGAGTAAGGAAGCTAAGAGTAGCGGTGGATACTACAGTACAGTGCAGTGCTACGCATACCAGATGCACCTGACAGCCATGGCTGCCTGCTGGTAGGGCAGGTGGAGCAAGCGGCAATCCGCGGCATGCCGCGGAGCAGACAGCGAAGGGAGGGCGGAAGCTTGCAGGAGAAGAGGGGGTTTTGTTTGGATTGCAGGCGCACAGATGGGGAAGCGGAAGGGGGGAATCGGCAGAGCGGAGCGAAAAAAGAAAATGACGTGGGAAGGCGCGGCTGCGGGGAGGCAGATTTGCTGCGCGCGGAAGGAAACCGCCTTGGCTTGTGGGGTGAGGTGAAGGCAGGGAGGGAGGGGGAGGGGGAGCTGTGGCGGGCGAGGGGGCAACCAGTGCCGGTGGGGCTACAGTATCGGATGTGGGGGGGGTGTTGTGGGGGGCTTGCGCTGCCAGTTAGCGCGGGCCAATCAGGTGGCGGTCCAACGAACAAGCGAAACCCTAGAGGTTGTACCTTCACCTGATGCCCCTCCCTACCGCCGCTGGGAAACGGGAGCTGCCCGTTCTGACTCGCACGGAAAATACAGAAAGACAATCTCACGAGGATAACAGATGTGACGCATAACACAATTGCGAGTGCGAAAAATGTGTAGATTCTTACTTGCAATCGCAGTATTCAGTATCGCACAAAGCTATGATGTCAGAGTGTCAGCTTTCCCGCCACCACCCCATTCGCCAGCAGGATGAGATCCCAAGGATACTCTGCGGCACGGGAGAGATGGACAAAATGCTTTGCCGACATTCCCCTTGTTCACCAGAACCCCGAAATGCTCTTTCGGCAAAGCTCGTTGCGGCAATCTCGGAGTCCTGCTGAGAAAGCCATCTGGGCTTTTCATTGTGAAATAAACTAGACCGCTAAGTCGTATCCAGTCTTGACGTTTCTCCACGATAAGTTATGTAGCACCTCGCAACTTTTTCCAGGTCGACGCGTTCAACGCCTTCCGCCATTCGTTCGACGCGCGACCAAGACTGGAGGCCCTTATGGCACCGCGACGCTGCAGCTTGACGGCACTCGCCGTCCTCGTTTTCGCGTTGTCGTTTCGATCGGTGACGCGCTCATCGGCGACAAACAAATACGACGTGCGCTTTTACTCCGCCGGACCCTACACCCCATGCGGCACGTCTGGTAACTTCTCCGCGGTCGGCGTGCAAGGCGCGTTAGAGCCGTACAAGGGAGAGGCGGCATCGCTTAAAGGACAAGCGATATCGGGGCGAGTGACCGTTTACGATGACTGCTACTTCGCGCTCTCAGATCTCAGGTGTCCCTCTCCCCCTCATCGCTACCACCGCTCCTCCGCTAGCCGTAACCACCGGTCTCTTGGTCATCACCGCTCACCCGATTATCGCTCTTGATCCCTTGCCATCCTCACATAACCCAAACCAGTGACCATCGCTCCTCTTTCAACTCTCACTTCCGCCCCTCCGCTCCTCTCAATCCCGTTACCCCGCCACCCGTTGCTTCCCTTACCCACGCCCCACTCCGCAGCATCAGCGCGGCCGTCGATGCGCCGATATCCATCTGGGCGGGGCCCAAGGACGTCGACCCCTACTCGCACGCCGCGCCCGTCGACCCCTACGCCGCCTCCTCCTTCCCTGCCTCCGCCGCCTACTCCTTTGCACCGGCCAGCAACGCATTCAACCTCACTTCGACGTCGCTAATGGTGGTGTTCCTGCAGGCGGGCGGTCTCACCTGGGACGAGGCGCAGGTGCTCTACCTCTGCGCGGGGTCCGCCTCCACGGGAATCACGCGGATCTACGCGCAGTTCGCGGTCGGCGGGAGGGAGCACGCGGGCCCGCACGGGAAAACCGTGCGGTGGGTCCGGAAGACGGTGGGGGCGGCCGCGAGGGAGCAGCGCCTGCTCTTGCCTTCGCCCCCCTCCCGCCCGCCCCCTCCGCCCCCCAAACCGCCTGCGCCGGGCAGCAGCGGGCCGTCCGTCGGGCTGACCAACTGCGTGGAGGCGGTGCCGGGGCGGCTGAACATGTGAGTGAGCGGGGACGGAGGCTTGGGTGGGGCGGGGGAGAAGAATGGGTAGGCGGGGAGAGAGAAAAAGGGGGAGGGGCGAAATCATGTGCGCGGGTCCCCCCACGGCCCTTGACTTTTCACTCATCACACCCCCCTCCGCCCTTTCTACCCCGCCCCCCTTGCGGCAGATACTGGACCGTGCATCACGGCGACGCGGACGCAGGTGCCGCGGGACCGCCGCAAGACGTCTCCATAGTCACCGGCTCCTCCGCGCCCGGCAGCAGCAGCGCTGGCAGCGGCGCCGGCGGCAGCGGGGGGAAGGGGCCAGTGGTGGAGATGGGGATGGAGGCGCGCGTGGGCGAGGGGTCGTGGGTGGCGGTGGGCGTGTCGCGCAACCAGACGCGCTTCGCCATGCTGCAGAGCGACGTGACGGTGGGCGGCGTGCTGGCGGGCGGCGGAGGGGGCTTTGCGCGCGATTACCACATCACCGCCAAGCAGACCTGCCAGCAGGTCGCGGGCGGCTTCGTCGGCGTGTGCGAGGTGCGTGTGGGCGTGTGCGAGGTGTGTGTGGGCGTGTGCGAGTGTCGGTCCATCATCTTCCCGTCTCTTTCCCCACTATTCACTCGCATTACTCCTTCGCCTCCCCCTCAACACACTTCTTCCCCGATTCGCATTCCCCCGTGCCTTCCCCCTTACTTCCCCCGTGCCATCCCCCCTCCGCTTCCCCAGCACAGGATTCGCTCCTCGGCTCGTCCCCCACGTCCCTCAACGACGTGACCCTCGTCTCCGCGTCGCGTCGCGCTGACGTCACCTTCATCCGCTTCACCAAGCCCGCGGCCACGGGGGACGACCGCTTCGACGCCAACCTGCTGCGCGCGCCGGGCCTCTCCGCGCTCTGGTGGGTCGTCTTCGCCGCGGGCCCGCTCGCGCCCGCGTCCACCACCGCCGCGCCCACGCTGCTCTTCCACGACCCCGCTCTGGGGTACTTTTCGGGGGGCACGCGCATCCCCTTCGCGCCGCCCGCGCCCATCCGCACCTGCTCCCCGCTCTGGGGCACCAAGCCCGAGTACCACCCCCCGCTTCCCCCGTACGCCCCTCCGCCTCCGCCCGGTGCGGCTGCGCCGCCCCCGCCTGGCGCGGACGCGGCGGGGGGCGTGGCGGGGATGCCGGGGCTGCGCGAGTGCAGCACGGCGGTGGGCGGGCAGGTGTACGCGTTCGACGCGTGCGACGCGCTGCCCGGCGGCTTCCTGCTCATGTGGTCGCTGGCAGGCATCACGCTGCGCGCCGCGTTCGTGGCGCAGGCCGTGCCCGACGGCGGGTACGCCGCCGTGGGCCTCTCGCCCTCGGGCGCCGTCGCCAACTCCAGCCTCCTCGTCGTCTCCTACGCGCAGGACGCGGGCGCGGGGCGGGGGAGCGGAGGGAAGGCCGCGGGCGCGGGGACAGGCGGGGCGGAGGTGGAGGTGGGGCAGGTGGTGGTGCGCGCGGGTGCGCGGGGCGTGGGGGTGGAGGCGGTGGCGGGGGGCGATCTGACGGTGGTGAGCAGTGTGGGGCAGGCGCGGAACAGTGCGCTCACGCTGCTCTTCTCGCTGCTGCTGCTGCCCAACCAGACGGCCGCCGCGTACCTGGTGTGGACCAAGGGGCAGCGCGCACAGCTCTCCCTGCCCGCCGCGGCTGCAGCCAATGAGACGGGGGGGGTGCTGTCACTGGATGGGCTGGACGCCATGATGACGTCAGCCATCAGCTTCGAACGCGGCGAACCGAAAGACGACTCCAACGACACCATCCGCCTCTGGAAGGTGCGCGCGTGCGGCCCTCCCTGCTCCCCGTTCTGCTCCCCTCTCTGCTCCCTGCGTGTTCCCTCCCACGTCGTCCTATCATGTAATCCCCACGGCTCATCATGCTATTCCCTCGCTTCCCCTCCCCCCACGCCTTGGCAGATCCACGGCATAATCAGCACGGTGGCGTGGGCGTTCCTGATGCCTTTGGGCGTGATGGCAGCGCGCTACCTGCGCCAGGTGTACGCGCGCTGGTTCCCCGTGCACCAGGCGCTGCACCTCGCTGCTGCCTCCCTCGCCACGGTGGCATTCACCATGGCGCTCACCATGCCGCACGGCGCCATTGAGGGGCGCGCTGACAAGGCGTCACGCGGGACGTGCGTGGTGGCACACACAGCCATGGGCATCACACTCATGGTCATCGCTGCACTGCAGGTACGTTGGGGTGGGGGTCTCTGCCTGTGTTGTGCTGTGCTGCTGGGCACGTGAACGCATGCCCTCTCTGCTGCTCCCACCTGCATCCGCCCCTCTCCTTCTTGCTGCCTTGCCGTACCTCAATCCGTCATTTCCACCCGCCCCTCACTCCCAATCCGCTCACGTTGCTCCTCCCCTTCACCCACAGCTGTCAGCGCTGGTGTGGCGGCCACACGAGGACAGCAAGTGGCGCCCATACTGGCGCCGGGTGCACGCGGGGGGAGGCGCAGTGGCGCTGCTGCTGGGGCAGGCGCAGCTACTCGTGGGCCTATTCATCTCCGCGGCTCCTCTCTTCTACACCGTGCTGCTCGCCGCCTGGCTCATCTTCGCCCTCCTCCTCACCACGGCCCTCGAGCTCCACTTCTTCCCCACCTTCTACCGCCTCGCCCACTGCTGGGACCGCCTTCTGGGCCGCGACTCTGACGTGGCGTCTGACGTGGATAGTTTGTGCGCGTCCAGTGAGGGGCTGGCGGGCGGCGCGGGTAGAAAGGGGGCGGCGGCGGAGGGGGAGGGCGGCGATGGGGGGAAGGGTGCGGCGGGGGGATGGGTGGCGGCGGTGGTGGCGGTGCTGCGGCGCAGCAGGGGCGCCGGCATGCTGCCTGAGCGGCCCAGGGGGCGGGGGAGGACGGCAAACGGGGGGAAAGGAGAGGGGAGGCGAAGGGGGAGGGGAGGGGGTGCAGGAGGAGGAGGGGGGGCGAGTGAGAGGGCGGGGAGAGGGGGCAACGGGTACATGAGCATGGCGGGCGCCAATGCTGTCACCGACCGGCGCTCCAAGGAGCTGCTGCCCCCTCAGCCTCACCCACACCCACCCCCACCCCTCCCAGCCCCTGTCCACCCAGCCCTGCCGCACTCACAAGCACCTGCACCCCCCACCGCTGGTGGCGCTGCTGGTGGGGGTGGTGGCAGGGTTGGCACAGAGGGGGCAGGAGCAGTAGGAGGGAGAGCGGAAGTGGAGGCAAGGGTGAAGGCGTTTGGGCGCAGCCAGACGGTGGCAGAGGGGGGTCACAGGGAGGGTGCCGGAGAGCACAGGAATGGGGCTGCTGCTGCTGCTGCTGCTGCGACTGCAGGTGGTGGTGATGGTGGTGGTGGCAGTGGTTCAGGGGCCAGCACCCAGTCACGAGGTGTGTGGCAAGGTGGGATGGCAGCATGGAAGGCGGAGGAGGCTGCGAGAGAGAGAAGGGGAGAGGGAGTGAGGGAGGGAGTGAGGGAGGGAGTGAGTGAGTACATCCGCACGGACAAGTACAACGTGCGAGCTACGGTGGTGAGGGCGCCCGACCTGGATCTCCGAGGGAGAGCAGTGCGGCAGGGTGGGGCGGGCGAGGGAGCAGCAGGGGTAGAGCAGGGAAGAAGTGGGAAAGGGGCGGATGATTGGGTGGTATAAGAGGAGAGCCAGGGGAGGTGCTGAGTGCGATACAGTAAGAGTGTGTGTCTGGCGTAGCAGCAGTGCTGTATGCCCACGAGTGAGCTCACAATTGCGTATGTTGGTACGGTACAGTGTGTCTGTCGCACAGCCGCACACACTGCTGGGTCGTCGGGATGTGTTGTCAGCACTTGGGTCATCCACATCAGTCAGTGCATACCAATATACTACCGTAGTGTCATGTACACTATCGTTCATTTCCACACCATGCAGGTTTAAATATAGGTACGACGCGTAGGTGTAGGCGCCTGTAGACGCATTTTCGTTGACCCTTAACAATGCACTATGTATTGTGGTACTTTATTAACCCACAAGCTAAACCTAATCTGCTACATTTTGCAGCAGGTAAATGATAATACTTGGCAGGCACACATAGCCTGCTTGCATGTACCTACAGTATGGTACCGTATGTGCCCCTCTCCTGCCCTTGTGCTGTGGCACGGCAGGCAGAGCCAGCAGCACACCTGCACGCCGCAGTGCTGCATGGTGCAGGGCACAGCAGTGTCAGGGCACAGCAGTGTCAGGGCACAGCAGCATCAGGGCTGGGAGGATTGCGGGGAGGTGCCCACGTGCACATAGAGCGAGTCGAAGCCGTTGAGCCAGCACGGCAGCGAGTAGATTAGCAGCCCCAGGGCGAATGAGGGAACGATGGTGAGTAGCGCATACGCGTACGCCTTGGCGGGCGAGCGCAGTGTGTAGTGCAGGTACAGGGCTTCTAGGGAGGGCATTGACACGGTGCTGAGGCATGCCAGGAAGCCCAGCTGCATCGCCCCCACCGCCACCTCGCTCGTTATGCTCTGGTACTGCATGAAGGGGAAGGGATGGGAGGGGCGTGTGTGAGGTGAGGGGACGGGAGTGATGACAAGGAAAGGCAGCGGATGAGGGATGAGGATCAGCAGAGGTGCAACTCAAGGGCTGGCAGGGGCGCATCTGAGGGGCGGCAGGGGCGCACCTTGAGGTAGAGGATGGAGATGGCGGCTTCCACTGCCGCCGCCCCCACATTCGCCATCCACGTGCCCCACGGCATCCACTCCCACCCGGCCCCCCCCTCCCCCGCTTCCGCCAGCAGCGCAGATATTGACGCGGAGGGGGGGGAGTGGGCGCAGGGGAGGAAGGGGAGGCGGAGCGGGAAAGGCCTGCCGTTGAAGCGCAGCAGGAGGAAGCGGAGGTGGGTGCCCAGGGGGGCGACGAGGCACGCGCACGCCAGCATGCGCCAATGGTGCGCGGTGGGGGGGAGCAGCAGCGCGCCGAGCCCTGCCAGCAGCAGCAGGGCGGCGGAGAGCAGCAGCATGGGGAGCATGTGGCGGCGCTGGTGGGGGGGATCCGTTGGCGGAGCAGGCGCGGGGAGCTTTGCGCTTGGAAGCGTGTAGGGCAGGAGGGAGGGGTTGGGGGAGGAGCGCGCGCAGGCGGAGGCGAGGCGAATGGCGGTCCCCGCGTCGACGCCCGCGACGAGCGCAACGAGGGGGAGCGCGGAGCCGGTGAAGTACCCGAAGGCGGCGCGCGCCCAGAGCCCCGACGTGGCGATGGAGACCATGCGCTGGTTCCACGTGGCGAACGTTGATATGCTGCCGCACAGCCCCACGACGATGGCGATGGCGAGATGGCGCGAGCGCGCGAGCAGCGCGGGGAGGAGCGCGACGGCGGAGAGGCCGAGGAGGAACGCGCCGAGCATGTTGGCCGGCAGGTCGACGAACACCGTCAGCGCGTCGTCCGTCACGTGCGCCACGTTCGGGCCGAACAGCTCGTCCAATAGAAACTGAATGCACACCTGCGCGCGCGGGAGAAGAGGGGGGAAGTAGAGTTGAGTTGAAGGAAATCACTAGAGGGGGAATAGACAGTCTGGGGGGCGTGCGTGATGCGAGTCGTTGGGGAAAGAACCAGTTGGAGAGGAGTGCGCGCGCGGGGGGAAGGTGGTGGGTTGGCGGGGGGGGACACGCACCCCGACGATGGCGAACGGCGTGATGTGCGCCACGAGGCTCGCGCCGTCCATCCACCGCTCCCACCGCTCCGCGCGCTCGATTCCGCCCGCGGAATCCGCGCGCGCGCAGACGCACGAGGGGGGAGCGTCGAAGAATCCCACGTGGCTGGCGTAGCAGTAATCGGTCCCCGTCACCTGCCGCGCGCGCAGCATGGGGGAGCGGCGGAAGGCATGGGGGCGAAAGGGGACATGCAAGTGAGACGGGGAAGATGGCGACGAGGGCTTGACAAAACCGCGGTGTTCAGAAAGACTGAGCCAAACACCCCTTCCGTCTCCGCTCCTTTTCGCGCGCCGCCCTAACACTGACCGCCTCACCTCGTCCGCGGATGTAAGCGGAAGGGCGCACTTCCGCCGTCGTCGACTGGCGCGGCAGATACACGACGCGCCGTTGTTTGTTTTCGCCTCTTGCGTCACGCCGTCCCTCCCGGCGACGGCACCCTCGCTCGCCGTCGATGCGCTGCCGCCGCAATTGGTGCTTTGCGGCGACCCTAGGTCGATCTGGCTCGCGAGCTCGGCGCGCTGCTGCCCAGGGCTACTCGCTTTGGGTTCCGCGTTGCACGGCGCAGCACCAGAGGCGTCAGTGAGCGGCCGCTGATCCGCGTGTGCTCTTCTCGTGCTGCTTCTACTAGAAGTCTCAGATGCCATGGAGCCCGCTCGACTCGACGCCCTACTCTTATCTGAACCCGCTGCTGCTGCTGCGGCGCGACACGAGGACGATCCGCCGCTCCCCTGCCTCCCCGTGTCGCTGTGGCAAGCAGCTGATGTGGAGGGGCATGCGAGCACAGCGGCATCCTGAATGCCTCGTGACGAACGCGCCACGTCAGCTGCGGGCACTGGAAGCGTGGGTCGCTGGCTGTCGCTCATTGTCCAGCTGAGAAACGACTTTGGAAACCAAGGTAAGGCGGAGCCGCGCAGTGATTGCACGTGCTCGCAGACAGCGGTGCGCGCAGCGACGATAGCGTGCCGATTCCAGCGCTAACGGAGCCCGACCATCGCGCAACAGCTCGCTCTTAAGGCAGCATGCAGCAGATTACAGCATACTGGCGTGCCGATTTGTAGTCAAGAGGGTTGAATTCAGAAAGAACGCGCTGCTGAAAGAGAAGTCAGACTGGCGACGTACTACAGTAAAATAGGACAACCTTAAGATGTTCAGCACGAGCGGCTCTAAATCCTGGATGTAACCCGAGCTCAAACACGTCGTGGTCAAGGAAGAGGTAAGTCGAAAATTACAGTCGATGCTCAGCCTATCACAAAAATTTGCTTATCACAATTAGAAAATCAGTCACTCGCGAACGTTTTGCCTGTGAGTGGTGATTGTGCTGATTTCAGGGTACAGTCACCAAGTCGAGGAAGAAAAACATCTACAGTTCATAAACAACAACGGCTGCCTGTCATCAGAATTGTTTACCTGGTTACGAACTTAAACCCCCAGACTCGTTTCACATTCCAATTTCATTTTACAATCACATTTTTGCCCGTGGCGACAAGGGCGAATGTGGCGAACTATCCAAAACTCGTTTCACTCACATGCCGCCCGCCTACCTGGTGTTCTTGAAATGAGCACCGACTGTAACTCGGTGGAGGTTGACTTGGGGTTTGCCTTGCTGTGCCTTGGTTAGTCGAGGGAGGGAGGTGTCGAGCTGGTGTAGGCATTGTAGGGGGAGGTACATGCGAGGGCCGTTTTGCATTCAGGGGGGAAGGTGAGACACTGGTGGAGGGGAGTGGGGTTGTTTGTTGCAGCACGCGCACAGCGGAGCGTGGCGGTGTGGCTGTGCTTGCAGAGGGAGAGACGGGCTGAGTTTGTTACAAGACACTGCCGCCGTAGCCAATCGGGGGTAACAGGGGAATGTCGTTGGGTGGGTGGGATGGCATGGATGGCATGAGGAGGGGATTTTCCATTGGGGAGGGGGGATGGGTGGGCTGCGGGGGAAAGGACGAGAGGGGGCTGCGCAGGGGCAGGTGTATGTACAGTACAGTACCACGGTGGTCTTCTGGTGCGGCTGAATCTGCATCCGCGGAACCTGTCACGCTCCACGAAGCCAATCGCTCCCGCATATCGACCATTGCCCCGTAACGGAGGCTTGAGGGGGAACGAGAGGATGGCAGCTGGGGGGGTGTGGGGGAGGGAACGAGAGTGGAGCGGAGTGAAAGAGGGCTGTTGAGAAGTTCGAGGCGGAAGGATGAAGCCTCGAATGCTAGCCACGGTAGGAAGAGCGGAGGGCGCTGGGTTGGACCCTCCGTCAGCCGCAGCAGCCAGCCAATGAAAAGGGAAGGTGAGGTTTGGTCCGTAGTGGTGGAGGAGGAACTCCATAAGTTCAGCCGTTCAGTCAGCGTGCGCCACGTCAGCCATGTCACAATTGCGTGGAACAGTGACAGATGATACCTGCACAGCCAGAAACCACCTGAGATCTGAATGAAGGTCGAGTTTCGATGCGAATCGAATGGTTTGTCATCTCGATCATAACCTCCAAACCAGTAGTTAACCATCTCAAACTGCATCTTAATATTTTGTAAAATACCGTATGTGTGCATTGAAGGGCTATGAATAAATAAAAGCATATCACAGTACAAACCTTTTATACTGTACAGAACCACAAGGACAACAATCTGATACTACCATACAATACGGAACATGATTCATTCGGCATAAAAGTCTCATCAGTCATCGTGTACGACGCATCAGAACCAATCGAGGGCTAAGGGGGCGGTTGATGCTTCGATGCTCCCAGCACACCCAAGAGTCAGCAGGCAGAGACGATGCCACCTCCACAACAGCGTCATACTCCTCCCTTGGGCAAATTCAAAGGCATTCCGAAGCAGGAAAAGGGAGAATGACCAAATGCAATGTCGAAAACACAGCATATTCCATCAATGCATATACCAGAGGATGTGCAAAACATGGGAGTTGAGTCCACATAGTTTTTCAGCATAATCACCTTGAACTCCTGATCGGATCTATTGCCCCTCCACATCGTGCACTCACCTGCCCCCTGGGTGGCCCACGTAGGCCATGACACTGACCACGCCGCCCACAGCTGTGGCTGCCATTGCTCCCTGCAGCGCCGCCACCGTGCTGCCCGGCTGCGTTGTGATGCCCTCAGGGGCAGTGGTGGGAGAGGGAGTCGCAGTGGCAGGAGTGTGGTGGTGGGCCCCAGGCAGGTAACCGAGGTTGAAGGCCACCAGCCTGATTGGTGCAGGCGGGAGATGGAAGGCGTGGTGGGGGAAGAGGGAGGCGGGTTCAGGGGGTTAATCGTGGGGGTCGTTTGGCAGTATTTGGCAAGGGATTGGGACTCGGGAGTGGAGGAAGTGCTGAGAAAGGTGAATAGAGAAATTGGAAGGCCTGAGGAAACAAAAGGAAGAATTTTATGATTGTGGAGGATTCCTCGAAGCAGGTGACGCATCATCATGGTGTGTGGTTGGTTGGGGCGTGGTACGGAATTCAGCAAGGCATGTGAGTAAGTGTGGCGTTGAGGGGTACCGCGCAGAGCCAGGGGCCACATGTTGGAGCAGTGTGGAGTGGCACGCCCACACCGTGTGCACATGAGCCATCTGCCACATGGGAAGAAGGGGGGGGGTCGTGGGGAGAGGAGAGTGGCACGAGTGGCACATATTCTCACGCGTGAGCACCACACATGCACACGTGCAGGCGGTCAAAGGCACAGATTTACGACCGGCTACAGGGCCACCACACGCGCATTGCACACGGATGAAATGATGCCGTGCGCCTCTCACCTGCGCTTCTGACAGGCCAGCTGCCAGCAGGTGATGGGTTCGGCTGACTGCCTCCTGCTGTATGTCCATCGCCACCACTCGCCCCCTCACCTCCTCCCCTGCGCTCCCTGCATCGCCTGCACTGTGCAACCAACACGTCAGTGCAGTACCATGGCCCCCCAATCCACCCTCCACACGCAGCCATGGAGGGGCGCACTGGGGTTTGACATCTGGAAGGGCAGGAATGGCATTTGGCCAATGCAGTGGGTGGCAGGCGAGCGGTGCAGCCACCGCAGGCGTGCTGTGAACCAATGCAGGAGTGCAATGAGAGGCGTAGCCGCACCATTGCCAGGTGGCGCGGGGCCGAGGGCGAGAGCAGCCATGGCCATGGTGTCGTGACCGTTGCCGCACGTCGCATCCACCACTGTGTCGCCGCGTCGCACCACGCCCCGCCACAGCCTGAACCACGCGCACGAGAGGACGACGGGCGGAAGGGGGCCGGACGGACGGAGGGTGGGCGGAGGATGAGTGGCGGAACACGGGGAAGCACGGGGGTTGGGGGAGGGGAGAAGGAGGCGGAGGGGGAGAGGGAGGGGGAGGGGAAGGGAGAGGGAGAGGGAGAGGGGGGAAGGGGAGCGCGCGCGTACTGGTGAGCGACGGCGGTGAGTTTGCGGCCGCGGAGCAGCGACTCAGCGAGGTCGGGCTCGCTGGGCTCCGCTCGCCACGAGGCCGCTGGTGCCGCCATTTCCTGCGCCGCTTGGCATGAAAACGAATGACGTCGTCGCGAAACGCTAGCCGTCGTGAATATTGATGTCGTCGTCTCAATTCTCGATGATAGCTCGCTGGAATTGGCCCGCCTCAGCCAGTCGCTGCACACCTTTCCTGCGGACGTCTTTGAATGAAGCACATCCTGCCAGAAATTCCATGAAGTCCCTATCGCTCGAGACCTATTGGCACCTACAGGGGTTCTAAATGAGGAGAGCATGGCGGGTGGGCGTGCCGCAAGTGGCGCTGATGGATTCATGTCGTGCAAACGAGGCTGATGTGAGCGCATGCCAAAATTTTGGGGAGTGCTGATTCAACATTGTGTGAGTTGAATTTTCTATAACACGAAATTGCGGAGTGCATTTTGTGGTAATTCTGGAACACTCAACGATATATTTCTCAAACGAATCAAGCCGATCATTCCGATTACCCTTCGATGTTGTCACTGGGCGCGGTTCTGACAACAATCCCCAAGATGCCGCAAGCAGCCTACCACCCCCTCCACACATCCAAGCGATTCCGTCTGACACATTTCTAACGACAGAACCGCTCAGAATCGAAAGGAACTCATCAGAAGCATTTTGGTGCCTCTTGACTGGAATGTTGCTGACATGCCATGCGTGCGATGAGCTGGGGAACCCAAGGCCACCTGAATTCGGCTGAACATCAAATTTCAGGACCAAATCTCCCTGAATTCGCTTGTTCTCATCAGCGCCTTTAGCATCCTTATATCTCCATCTCCGCGTCCTCCGGTCTCCTCAGCATCTCTCCCGTTCGTTTTTGACGCTGCATCTCGTTGTCGCCGGGTGCATCGTCCTCCTAGTATACGTCGCAACTATGGCAACCACGACTGCGCCGTCCGTGCAGCAGACGATCGACCGTCTGAGACTGGAGACGGCGACGCTCGATGAGATTAGGTCAGTCCGTGGACTGCACGTGCAGCCGCTTGAATCTCTCTGACCACCGTTAGGCAGATCACTCGTTTTCTCGTGCACCATCTTAAGAGCATGCTGATCTTCCGTCTTCTTGTCCTATCGCAGCGCCCAAGAACGGAGCGGATTTCTGTCCCTTTTTGAGCGCTACTTGCAGTAAGTACTATAACCGATGGGCTAGTAATCACTGATTTATCTCGTCGGCTTCAGGGAGGCTTGTTTCTCCACATCTGACGCGTGGCATGGGATGTGCAGGGAGAAGGCGAATGTGATTCAGTGGGACAAGATCAAGTCCCCCACTGACCAGGAGGTCGTGCCGTACGATGACCTTCCTGAAGTTCCCCAAGGTAACCGCTTCGAGCGCTCTCTCTTAGCGAGCACTCAGGCCAGTCTTCGTGCGTTCCTGGTTTTTTATACTCCAGTAAAAAATCTATATGGTGACACGGTGTGACGGTTGTTGCTGCTGCTGGCTGCGGGTGGCAGATCCAGCGGTGGTGAAGGGGCTGCTGAGCAAGCTGGCGGTGATGAAGCTCAACGGCGGGCTGGGCACCACCATGGGCTGCACGGGTCCCAAGTCAGTCGCACCATCTGCGCCTCATCTCCATTCCTGCTCCTACTGCATGTCCACCACCGCGCTCCGTTCTAACGGCTAATGTGTGTCATTTCAGGTCTGTGATCGAGGTTCGGAACGGTCAGACATTCCTGGATCTGATTTTGAAGCAAATCGAGGTACGTCTGTCCCTTGAAAGGCCAATCCAAGCTTGTCACGCCAGTTGCTATCAGCTGACGGTGCGTCGTGGTGCTGGCAGACGTTGAACGCCAAGTACGGGTCGAGCGTGCCGCTGGTGCTCATGGACTCGTTCAACACACACGACGACACTCTCAAGGTGCGCTCGCTCCCTCGCCCTCCGTGCCGCTCGCTCCGCTCCTACTTCGCTCCTTAACAATACTTTACGCTTTGTGGATTCGTGTGTCGGTATTCTGACGGCGAACCGTGTGCCTGGCGGCAGATTCTCGACAAGTACAAGGATTCGGCGGTGAAGATTAAATACTTCAACCAGGTCAGCCCTTCTTTCCGTGCTCTCCGCTTATGTGCTGTAGACTGTGGCTTTCTTCCCTCCATTTCCTCTCTCCCGCCGCCTGCAACCGCATTCAATATCTACGCGCACAAATCGTTCCCGCCATCACTCCCTCGTCCGCTGCGCTGTTTTGATTCAAACGCTCTCGTCGGGTTGCGCATCTGCTGTGTCGTTCACCTACGTCGCGCCCTTCTCGCGCGCCTGCGTTATCACCACTCGCCTTCCCTCGTGCACGCCCGCGTGTGATGTGTGTGCGTGCGTGTGTGAGAGCAGAGCCAGTACCCGCGAGTGGTGGCGGAGGACAACACGCCGTGGCCTGCCAAGGGCCGCAAGGACAAGGCTGCCTGGTCAGTCCTTCCGCACCCCTGCCTCCCCCTCTTCTCAACCCCCCACTCCCCGACCCAACCCCCTATTTTTCCGTTTCAGTCCCCCTCCTCATCTTTCCCGTCTCCTCCGTCCAACGCTTTAGTTTCGCCGTCTTTTGTCGAAAACTCGTTTGATCACATGCGTTCATTGCGCCGGTGCGTGTGTGACGGCCCGTGCGCGCGGCGCTGCAGGTACCCTCCCGGGCACGGCGACGTGTTCCCCGCGCTGTGCAACAGCGGCGTGCTGGACCAGCTGCTCGCCGAGGTACGCCCCCCCGCCAGAATGCTCGCGTAATGTTGTAACGGAATGGTGGAGAGATGTAGACGCGTGGCGAAGAGAATGTAGTCGCGTGACGGAGTCTGGAAAGGACATAGAGAATACCAAGGGTGACGTGTGTCGAGTGGGCGCCGAGGGTACTAGTGCAGAGGATAGGGGAATAACAAGTGCACGCATGTACGAGCATGGCATGGATAGCGGATAGGTGTGCATGCATTGAGTATGTATGTGTGTGTGCGTGTGGCGTGCGTGGCAGGGCATCGAGTACGTGTTCCTGGCGAACGCGGACAACCTTGGTGCGACGGTGGATCTGCGCATTCTCAACTTCATTGTACAGAACAACAACGAGTACTGCCTCGAGGTGAGTGCCACTCTATAACGAGTATGCGCTGCAAGTCCGCGCTGCCACCAAGTGCCGCGGAATTACAGCCCTTTTTGTGCGTCTCGTTCTGTCTCTCTCTCACATTCCCATTCCTTCCCACCCCCATCCCATCTTCCCCCCTGCCTGTCTGCCCGCCTGTCCGCCCCCCTGTCTCTGTTCCATGCGTGCGTGCGTGCGTGTGCCTGGCAGGTGACGCCCAAGACGTTGGCGGACGTGAAGGGCGGCACCATCATCAACTACGACGGCAAGCTGCAGGTACCTCCTCTCGCCGCCCCACTCCCTCGCCACACCACCCGCTTGCCACACCACCCGCTTGCCACACCACCCGCTTGCCACACCACCCGCTTGCCACACCACCCCCTTACTGCACTCTGCTCTACTCCTCTCCTGTCTCCTCGTTCACTTTCGTCCCCATCAGCAGCATTTTCATCAACATGCTTCATGCGGCCATTTCCTTGGCTCTCGTCCCCTATCCTCTGCTCCCCTATCCTTTGCTCCCCTGTTCCCCCATCTCCTGTCCTCCCCTCCCCTGTCGTCCCCTAACCTGTCCGCCCCTCCCCTATCCTCCCTTCCCTTATCCTCCCGTCCCCTATCCTCTGCTCCCCTATCCTCCGCTCCCCTATCCTCCGCTCCCCTATCCTCCGCTCCCCTATCGTCTGCTCCCCTATCGTCTGCTCCTACGTGCTTCCCATGCAGCTATTGGAGATCGCCCAAGTGCCAACCGAGCATGTGAGTGATGCCAGAATGTTTGGGTGACAGGGGCGGTCTGGATGACGGCGGGGGTGTGGGTGACAGAGGGGGGTGGGGGGGGAAGGGGGGTGACAGCAGAGTGTGAGTGACGGCAGGGTGTGAGTGACATCAGTGGGTGGGTGGCACCAGCGTGTGTGGGTGTGTTCACTGTCAAGAGTTTTGAGTGTTTATTGCTGCCGCCACGCATGCCCCTCGTCCATGGGCACAGGGCCTGGGGCTGCATGATCAACGCCTCTTTGTCTGTCTCTACCTGCTGCTGCTACGGGGTGCTGTGGGGTGCCGTGGGGTGGTGTGGTGTGTTGTGCGGTGGTGCAGGTATCGGAGTTCAAGTCCATTGAGAAGTTCAAGATCTTCAACACCAATAACATGTAGGTTGCCGTGCCATGCAACGCCATCATTCCATGCCATGCCACCATGCCATGCCATGTGTATGCCACCATTTAACACTCCAGCATCACGCCACCTTCACTGCTAGTGGTCATGTTCGCATGCAACCAACTCATCAAGTGTGTGTGCGTGCCTGCATTGTTGCATGGTGCATATATGCGCATGCATTTGTTGATGTGTGTAATGTGTGCATCTGTGCATGGGTGCGTGTGCATGTGAGCAGATGGCTCAACCTGGCGGCCATCAAGAGGCTGGTGGAGTCAGACGCTCTCAAGCTCGACATCATCCCCAACCCCAAGGTGCGCTCTCCTGCTCCCCCTCCCCCTCCCGCTCCCCCCGTCCCCCCCTCTCTCTTCCACGCCTTTTTTTTTTCGCCCATGTGTCATCCTCCATTTTCTCCCATCCCGTCCTCGCCATTGCTCTCCTGCCATTTCTACCACTTCCGCCCATCCCGTCCTCGCCATTGCTCTGCTAATAACCTCTCCTTCACGTCTGTGCATGGATGCCTGTGTTCTTTCTGTGTGCATGCCTGCACCCACCGTGTGCCACACATGTATGTGTGCATGACGGCAGGAGGTGGACGGGGTGAAGGTGCTACAGCTCGAGACGGCTGCTGGTGCCGCCATGAAGGTCAGCCCTGCTGCACTCTCAGCCATGCCTCCCTGCATTGCCATCTCCGCTTCTCGCATTTCCCACTGTTCTCCATATCCCCTGTTCCCTCGCCTATCCATGCCTCACTACCTCATTCTTCCTCGTCCCCTTCCATCCCGTCCGCCCCCCATGCGTTCCCGCTCCAACCTCCCTCCATCGGTGCAGTTCTTTGACCGTGCCATCGGGGTGAACGTGCCTCGCTCGCGCTTCCTGCCGGTCAAGGCCACCTCCGACCTCCTCCTCGTCCAGGTGCCTCCACGCTTCTTCTCTGTCGCCCTTCCCTCTCCCCTCCCATTGCCATTCCAAGAGTTGCCTTGCTGACGCGCACCCACCACCCAGCCCTTCACCACTCTCCCTCTCTGCCCCATGCGATGTGCCTGCAATGCAAATTCTGCCCTCCTTTCTCTGCCGCTTCTCACCACAAATTCTTGTGCGCATTAACCGCCTTGCACCCCTAGTTTCCATCTCTCAATCTGTAACCCTACTCCTTTCCATGCCCCCCCGTCTCTCCCCTATCCCCCTGCATCTTCCCACAGTCGGATCTGTACACGGTGGAGGACGGGCTGGTCACGCGCAACCCCGCCAGAACCGCTGCCGCCAACCCCACCATTGACCTGGGGCCCGAGTTCAAGAAGGTGTGTGTGCCATGCCCCTTCATGTGCGCCCCTCGCAGTGGTGTGTTGCCAGTGTTTGCAGATTTTCCATGTGCTGCTTGCGTGCACATATTCCATCTGTGTTTCTACGTGAGCCTCACATCAGTCATGGGTTGCCCATTGTTGTTGCATGCTGCTCTTGTGAGCAGGTGGCGGATTTCCAGAAGCGCTTCAAGGCCATCCCCAGCATCATAGAGCTGGACAGCCTCAAGGTGTCGGGCGATGTGGTGTTCGGGGAGAACGTCACCCTCAAGGTGCGTGTCGTGCCCCACTCGCTCGCGCTCACACACGCCTACTCTCTCCAAGTACCTCGGTGAAATTGGTGCTCTTTTCCCACTTCCCTCCACTCCACCACCTCCACTCCACCACCTGCTCTCATCCATCCTATTCTGCCATCCACCGTGCATCCATGCCTGTGTGCGGTGCATGCAGGGCAAGGTGGCGATAGAGGCGCCAAAGGATGATAAGATTGTGGTGGCTGATGGCACTGTGCTGGAGGGATAGGCGTGCAGGGAAGATGCCATTGCACAAGCTGACATGAGCTAGCAGCAGAGGGTCCTGCTTCCATGCCAGCAATATACGAGATGTAGGCGCAATGTTTGGGATGTGTGTGGTCGAATTACTTAGGATCACTTGTGGACTCTCATTCTTGTGGAGGAACATTTTTGAAGCGATTCCGGAGCTTGTAGGGGCTGGATGAAGCTTATAAGGATTCACCTGAAGCCTATAGACATGTTTAGGTATAAAATCAGCAGAATCAAATGGCTATGCGCATACTGTATAGCCCATTTGGTTTACACGATGCTGCTGAAGCAATCTTTCTCAAGAACCCAGCTTACATAAAGGTATGACCCGTACAAACGGGGCTGACAAATCAGCCCTCTGTGGGGTATGAGCAAGGCATCCCCATATTAGCTCCGTGCGTGCAGGGAGGCGGAGGGTCAGGAGGAGGGCAGCAGCTTGTAGGGGTTGAGGATGCCGTTGGGGTCAAAGAGGGCCTTCACCCTCTTCATCACCGCCACCTGCCATGATGCACAGAATCCACATGGCATGTTATCAATGCACTGTGCAAGCATGGAAGAGTGAGGGCTGGGGAGAGGCAACAGGTTACCGCTTGGGGGTCCTTGCTGTAGTGGATGGCGTTGGCCTTCATGAGCCCCAGCCCGTGCTCCGCACTCACACTGCCCTGCCGCCCCGCCACCCACTCGTACACATACGGCTCTATCCTCTCCAACAGCTGCCAGCGACGGGGGGTTGGTGTGGCAGGCAGCACGCACACAGGGTGGCAAACATGCACAATGGAGGTGGGATGGGAAATGGTGGAGTGAGGAGATGCGTGCAGAAGAGGATTGAACACATGGGTCATGGTCACACTCTCGGGAGCGCGAAATGGCATTGCTGGGACGTCATTCTTAGCACTGGAGCTGTTGCTTAATTTGATTCACACCAGGTGCCGGGGACACTGGGGAGAAGTGGCGGATGAGCGGTGGTGCAGGAGTGGTAGCAACTGGAGCGCGGAGCACTCACTTTGTGGTCATACGTGGGTGCGGAGATGTTGAGGTGCAGATTGCCATCGCCCAGATGCCCGTACCCCACCACCTGCGCTGCACTGCCCTCTGCTCCCCCCCACATGCACACGCACGGCACAGTGAGGCAGGTGAGAGGGGCCCATGGAAGAGGAGATGCAGAAACGAGCACAAGGGCGACACAAGGTGACACGATAAAGGAGCCATTTTGAACAACCCCACTGCACCTAGGCGGGTGCGCATGTCATCCACAAGGCCGTAGAGCTGTGAGACGGGCACCGACAGATCGTACTTGTACACTGCCCCAGCGCGCTGTAGCGCCTCCGCTACTCCCTGATGGGGACAGGAGGGCAGCAGGGGAACGGGGTTGGGGAAGCGGGGAGGGCATGATTGGTTAGTGTGTAGAGCTGTGAGACGAACACCCTCCAGAAACACGTTGGCAGGTACCATGTCATGTCACCGCATCTAACCGCATCTCACCTCGCGCAGGTGCCAGATGGCAGCGGCCTGAGTGGAGTCGTGAGCCACGGTACCATCCTCCACCGCGCCATCCTCCATCACGCCCTCCAGAAACGCGTCTAGCTTCGCCCTGGCGGCCGCTCATAGGGATGTGCGGCGTGGGCGGGGGAAGTAAAAGGGGGGGTTGTTGGGAGGGTGTAGTTGTTTGAAGGCATGCTGCGTGGTGCCAGGGGGCCGAACCTCTGTGCATGGAATGTCAGAGATAGATTTGGGCCTTTGTATGCATGCATGTCGCACCCACGCACTGGCAATGCTCCGCTGAGTGCGCATGCATGCCAGACCCACCGGTCGTGCTCGGGGTGGCTGCCGGACGTTTCAATGAGGACATAGAAGGGATACTCCCCGTCCGGTAGCGGATCCCTCGTACCCTCGTTGTGCTTCAACACCTGATGATGGCATGTGTGTGTGTGTGCGTGTGACACGGAGGAAAGCAGAGCTCAGGCGTGGTAGCGGGTCCCTCGTACTGAGAAAGGGTACTCCCATTCTGGCAGTGAGTCCCTCGTGCCCTCGTTGTGCTTCAGCACCTGCTCACACCCACAGGTCGGAGGACAGTGGAGCACGGGCGTGCCAGGGGAGGTGATGTGAGCACACATCAGAACAGTGTGTTGTGCTCGTATCATCATGCCACTTCCAAGCTACCATACCATTTGCAGGGGCGTTACCATTTGCAGGGGCATTACCATTTGAAGGGGCGTTACCAATTGAAGGGGCATTACCATTTGCAGGGGCGTTACCATTACCATTTGCAGGGGCGTTACCATTTGAAGGGAGCTGCGGTCGAAGAACTCAGCGGCAGATAGCACCTCCCCCAGGTGGCGCCTGCTGGCGCAGAAGACTTGCTGCACGGCGTCGAAGGAGGAGCACCCCAGCAGCGCCACGTGCACTGAGGGCGAGCGCGGTGGCGCCAGCAGCACCACCCTCGTCACCACGCCCAGCGTGCCCTCCGCCCCTGATGGCCGGGCATGGGTTGGACGGGCGAGGGGTGATGTGGTGTGGAGGGTTTGGTGAAACAGGACCTAGGCTTCATCAGAATCTGACATGCACCAACCACATTTGACATCATGTGACATCTTACCCCATAAACCATCACATGGCCTCTTATGCTCATAATGCACCAATGCCCCCCTGCTGTACCGATGAAGAGCTGCTTGAGGTCGTAGCCCGTGTTGTCCTTCCTGAGCGCCCTCGTCATGTCCACCACCGTGCCATCCGCCATCACCACCTCCAACCCTGCCCGTGCCCCGCGCACCGTGCACCCATGGGCCAGGGGAGGGGCAGGGGAAGCAGGAATCAGGGGCGATTGGGATTGAATGGTTCGCTGTAACCCAAAGTTCTCATCTCATCTCAGTGCAAATTGGTAGTGCTCAAAGCTTCAACAGAACGTTAAGTGAGTGGGCCCATTGAGCACGAAGTCATGTAGAGGCATGAGAGAAGCGAGCAGTGACGCGAGCAAAACAATAAGAAGGCCTCACGCACCGAGCACGGAGCCATGCAGGGAGCCGTATCGCAGCAGGCGGATGCCACCCGCGTTGGTGGACACGTTGCCGCCGATCTGGCAGCTGCCCTTGGCGCCCAAGTCCAACGGCATTACAAACCTTGCAGGGCAGAGGGACGGTGCAGAGGGCTGGTCATGTGGTGACGCGGACGTGGGAGAAACTCTTGTTGGGACACGTAGGAGAGAGGAGGGATGTGGCGATGTGCGTGCATGAGTGTATCAGGGAGGGCAGCGGTAAGAGGGAAGGGGAAGGGTGGGACTGTGCGCCCAAGCGCGTGCGTGCATGCATGCTTGTGCGCGTGCAGATGACTCACCCCTTGTCGGCCAGGAAGGTGTCGAGGGATTCAAGGATGCAGCCCGCCTCGCAATCCAGGATGCCGCTCACCTGGTGATGCCCGCACCGCACCTCACCGCACCGCACCGCCCACATGGTGTGGATTGGATCCCCAGTGCCCCGAGAAGTGGGGGCAGGGGTAGTGGAGTGGGGAGGGGGGTTGGGAAGAGGAAAACAGGTACTGCTGGTGTGTGTATTGATCACGCTTGGACGAGAGGTTTGGTATGATTGGCTTGTGTGTGGTTTAAAAGAGAAAGGGTTCAGTTGATAAGCAAGAGATGGTGCAGAGTGTCATATGACAACCATGTGGCACGCTGCAGCGTTGATGTGATAGGTAGGTGGGATGGGGTGCAGAGGAGCATGAGAGAGCAAGAGGCGTACCTCGTCGAATGAGATGATCTTGTTCATTCCTGCCAGGCTCAGAATAATCTGTCATGCCACGCCATGCCATGCCACGCCATGCCATGCGATATCAGCACAAGAACGTTACAAGCATGCAGCAGGGCGGGAAAGGAGAGACAGACAGGCGGAGAAGACAGGCAGGGCGGGAAAGGAGAGACAGTAAAGTGGAGGGAATTACACTGATTGTTATTGACACTGAAAGCAGCAATTGACACTCCACTGACAAACATCGGCATTGATGACAATGAATGGTTGACACCGCACTGATAGCCTTGAGCAATAACTGACATAGACAATGACTTCAAGTATGATCCAACTCTTGTAACACAACCTCGTTCACCTCCTCCTGCCACTCGCTACAACCACACCCCTTGGCAACCGCACTCACCTCATCGAACACAGGCACACTGCCGCCCACCAGACCTGTGTTGCCGCCCTGAGGCACCACAGCCAACCGCCTCTCATTGCAGTACTTTAATACGTCTGCCACGTGGCTTGATGTGGTTGGCCGCAGCAACAGCTTGCTATTCCCCTTGTACTTGCCCATCCAGTCCACGTTGGCTGCTGCCACGGCGTCAGGGTCCGTGATCACGCCACGTTCGCCTAGAATCCCCTTGAAATGTTCCACGTCAGCGTCTTCCAACGTGGCAAATTGCGGGTCTCTGGAAACGGCCACCGTGGCGTACGCTGCCCGTGCCGTGGCGCCAGAGGGGAGGGACTCAGGACCGGGAGACAGAAGCGCGCGCAAACCAACCCGTGCAGAGGAAACTGCGGAAATGCTAGTGGTGACTGACGGGGTTTGGTGCAGCGGAAGGGTGGGGGACATTGCGGGGAGAAATTGCAGATTCGGCGGAGCAGAGCGGGGAGACGCTGAGAGTGGTGGGGCTGGATGGAGCGCGGGGCTGGGAGAGGCACGGGGAAGAAGACCAGCTTGGCGGAACAAGGCGGAGGTTGCGCGGATTGCGCGGCCACGCTGAGAGGACGCCATGGTGCGCCGCACCGGTACGATCTTCTCACGTCTCGAGACCAGGCGAGCAACAGTGACAAACGCGGCTGCTGAGGGCGAAAAGACGCGCTCAGACGAGCACTGACGGCAGTCGCGTGACTTGAACGAGAAACTGCCTTGAAAGTTCTTTCAGTTATGGCGGTTTGGCGGCTCTGCAATCGCTGTGATCAGTCGAACGGCGGGTGCGGCGGAAGAGCGAACGGCGCGGACGGCAGGACGGACTTAGCACGAGCGGTCTAATCGCACGCGATGGTAGAAGCGGAACTCACGCTTCTAAGGTAGATAAAATCTACGAACGCGGACGCTTCTTGGTTGGAAGGAGGACAAGTGGCAGTAGAACGAGCGGACAGGCTCTGGTCTGGTCTGGTCCTGCGCATTGTTAAAATTCGAACATGCTAGTCTTGTCAAAGAGTCGTTTCTAACTGACTGATGGTGGTTCGTTGGCATGGTAGCAACCACCATGGCTTCAGCAAGAAGGTGAACTTGACCTCACTCCAGCGCTGCAGCACATTTGCGGTGAGAAATTCCTGAGGTGCTGGCGAGAGGCGCGCATTGGTGCTTCCTGCCCCTCGAGAACTGCGGCGACGAGTGCGGCCCATTCGCATGCTTTCCCACACATCCCCGCTGGCATCACACATGCATTGACAATTTTGCCAAAATACTAGATTTATCGTAGATAAAAAGTGATAATCACGCCAGCTGGTTATATGTACCCCTGTATGTACCTTTCACGCATTTATATTAATCCCATCCCCGGTAATAGCCGTATTTGCTGATGTGGTGCCACATGTGCCTCTGGATGAGGTCCGTCAAATTCTGTGCGTCGTCCCCACTCCCACTCGCACAGATCGACTCCCACTAACGCTCTGACGCGTGGAACCGAAATGTCCTGCTTTTCTGTACAACCATAGCCAGTCGAGGGTAACCGTTTTTTTTCGCGAATTCAAATTTGTTGAGACGAGAGCAACCTCCAGGTCGACGATTTGGGCCCTCGCGAACATTCAACGGCCCGATTCGTTCGGAGTTTCGTCCAAGCAGTGTGGAATTCCCCAGGGCTGCCTACTAGGCATCTAGTTGGGAGGTATGGAAAAGTGATCAGGTGGATAACACTTGGAGTCCCTTTCACCTGTATCTCGGACCAGCCTGGTCTGGTCTAGAGCCTAGACTCGCCGCCATGGCTAAGGATGATGTTCCGCAAAAGGCGGCGCCTTCGCAGCTAGTCTCTAAGAAATCTCCCGCGCAGGAGCCCCAGAAGAAAATGAGTCCCGCGGAGGAGATGGAGAGCGAGTGGCAGCAGATAGTGGATTATTATGACCCGGCCAATGTGGAGAAGCGCGCGGAGGAGGCGAGGAAGAAGGAGCTGCAGGCTCTTCAGTCCGCCATGGAGGCGAACCGAGAGCAGGAACAGGTTAGAACTAACAGTCGTACGTTGTTTTAGGAATGAGGACGTAACCTATCCTGGTTCCAGGTCAGCATGTAGCAGTTTTCGCGATTCAGGGGTTTGATCTGATTGGTGCTTAAGGCTTATTTTGATTAGCGTACCTCAGTGCGACGAGTTGAGGTTAGATGCGCAACCGTCAGTGCGACGAGTTGGTCGTGTCAGATCCGATTTGAAATGTAGCCAGTATCTGGCACGGTCCATGAGTAGACTCATAAACTGAAGTGGTAAGTCGTTTAGGGTTTCTCCCGTTTCTTTACCGAGCCTGACAGCGTCGTATAGCTGAGACTACATTGTTCTATGCCTGCAAATGGCGTGGATTAGAAGGCATTGAGCTTGTGCCTAGTTATGTAAGCTCAAACTACCTCCTTTCGTCATCCTAGCTCCCTTGCCACACTTCAGTAGCGTGTCTGCTGTGATATCATTGAACCGCATTGCTATGTTCTCCTTTAAGTCATGACCTCCTTCGTTCCCCACTTTCCCGCCACGCGCCGCTACCACCCTCCGCCCGTCACGCCGTAGATTCTGGAGGAGTTCTACGGCATCAAGCCGCGGCCGAAGCAGTCTATCGAGGAGCTCGAGAAGGCGGCGGCGGAGGTGGCGGAGGAGGAGGAGTGGAACTTTCCGCAGGACCCGGACAAGTGGACGGAGGCGGATCTGGGCGAGGAGTGGGCGGACGCGCCCGCCGACGCCAAGGTGCCGTTCTACGACCCGCTCCTCGGGCTCTCCGCGCTCGACGCCGCCGACGATGACGCCGACGCCGACGACGGCCGCCGCAGGTGAGAAGACTCACCGAGGGCCTTTCCCTTCGCACGGAAGCCGGACGCTGTGTTTCATCACTTTTCACGCCACTCGCGCTGCGCATACCCATAATCTGCTCCGTTTCCCGTCCCCGCGCTGCCTCCCCCTACTCCCCTCTCCCGCCCTCACCCCCACTCAGGCGCAAGGCGCCGCGGAAGCAGCAGCGCGCGAAGCTGCCGCACTCGGAGGACCGATATGTGCCGTACCGGCAGGGGCTGCCGCCGGTGAACGAGATGGAGGACGGGAGCTCGGGCGCGCTGCGGGCGCTGGAGGAGCTGGAGATGGAGGAGGAGTTCCTGCAGTGGGCCTCCTACGTCTTCCGCGACGGCGCCACGTGAGTCATGCCTCCCCAACCGCATGAGTGCTGCCCGCATGAGTTAAACACAGTATGTTGAAGAGTGCTCCGCTCTGCTGTGCTGGCTAATGCGTCATTTTCGCGTCCAACCACGGATCAGCATTGCCGTCCACAGAAGTACAACCTTCAACTTCCTCCTCTCGTTTCACTCCCTTCCCCTCCATCCCTTCCCATTACCCACTCTCTTCCGCTGCTCTCTGTGTGGGTGTGGGGACGGCAGGTACGAGGGCACGGTGTGGAACGACATGGCGCAGGGCAAGGGAGTCTACACCACGCCGCTCGAGCTCTGCAAGTGAGTGCTGCCCGCCGCTCGAGCTCTGCAAGCGAGTTTTATGCGCCCAGTCATTAACGAATACAACAACCCACACCACACCACACCATTTGGAAACACTCTCACATCCTCTCCCCCTTTTTTCACACTCGCGCACCCTCCGCCTTGTCCTCCCACTCTCCTCCCTTCCTCCCCCATTCCCTCCTGTCTGTCCACCGCTGCATGTGCGTCTCTCTCTGTGCGTGTGTGTGCGTGTGCGTGCGTGCGTGCGTGCGTGCGTGCGCGTGAGTGGGAGCAGGTACGAGGGCGAGTGGGTGCAGAACATGATGCAGGGTCATGGCGTCGTCTCCGTCGACGTCCCTGCGCGCCTCCCGCCGCCAGACTCCGAGTAAGCCACCTCGCAACCCCATGCGCTCTTGTTTCCCCACGTCCCGTGTCGCTTCCCCCCCCCCCCCCCCCCCCCCCCCCCCCCCCCCACCTCCCTATTGGTCTTGTTAAACCCTCAACCTCCGCACCCGATTGTTGTCCCCTTCCCCTCCACGCACCTCGCCCCTCACCATACGCCTCCTCTTCCCCCCTTCGCCCCTCCCCCCCGGCGCCTCCCCCTTCCCTGTCCCCGCGTACGTGCGTGCGTGCTATGCGCGCGGGGCAGGGCGTGGCGGAAGCTGAAGGCGGAGGGGAAGGTGTTTGAGGACGCGGAGATGAGCGCGGAGGACCGCGAGTGGCTGCGCATGGAGCTGGAGGACCTGTCGCAGCAGGAGAGCGAGGCGAAGAAGGCGGGCGCGGGCAGCGAGGGCGGGGCGGCGGTGGAGGACCCCACGGACGCCGTGCCCTTCGAGGACCACCCCGGCTGGCTCAAGGTCTTCGGCCGCAAACCGTGAGTGCTCCCTGCTCCCTTCTCAGGGGGCTGAGCATCAGTACTCTCTGCTCTCTGGTGTATGGTTGCTGGATCTTAGTGCTTGTTCCACAGTTCACAGGAGGTAAATTTGCAGGTCCGTGAGTGACGCGTTGCGCCTCCCCGCTGTGGTTCATGTGCGTGTGTGTGTGCGTGCAGGGAGAAGGGGCACTACGAGTACGCGGGGCAGATGAAGCAGAACAAGTTCCATGGCTGCGCTGTCTTCACCCTCAACGGCAAAATGCACTTCGTGAGTCACTGATCATCACATCAGCACCCCAATACCACCGTTTCGCCCTCCCTCATCCTACGTACTGTCTGCTTGCCAGTGCTCTCTTGCCATGCCATCGAATGGTGCCATCTCATGCCACCCCATGCCCTCCCGTCCCATGCCATGCCGTGTGACGGGCAGGGCAAGTTCCGCTTTGGCGAGTTTCTGCGCAACAAGGACGAGTGCGACGCCCACACCTCCGGGGTGAGTGCCGCCAGGGGCGCAGTTTAGAGCGGTGTGGAGGAGTGTGGGCAGTCAGTGTAGAGCGTTGAGAAAAGGTTGCCAGGAGAAAAGGCGGGGCGAAGGGGGTGAACAGGATGGCCAGGGCAGGGAGAGTTACCTTGTGCTCCTGGCAACGTCGCTGCTGTTTCCGTTGCTTGCCACTCTGCGCTTTTTTACCCCAAGCTCGGGCATAGACAAACATTTTTGCCCTCTCCTTCCGTCCCTACCTGTTGACCTTGCCGTCCTTCCTCTCCTCCTGCCCTCCCCCCGGTCAGTTCCATGCGGGCATGGCGCGGGTGGCAGCAGCCAAGGCGCGCATGTTTGTCAACAAGCCCGACGGCAGTAAGTCCCCCTCTTCCCGCCCTGCTCGCCATTCCCGTCCGCCCTGCTCCATCCACGTTGCCCGCTCTCTCCTGCCCTTGCACCATTCTAGCGTCCCCACTTGCAACGGGTGCTCGCTGTCTTACCAGTACTCAGTAGACCCACCATCCAATCTCAACCGCTCCTGGTCTCATGCTGCCGTTTGCAGTTGTCCCTCCCATCCAGTGTTGCCCTAACTCAAACTCG